TTGCTATAGGACGCATGCGCTCGCCAGACAGACAGAGAGAGATAGAGAGACAGAAAGCGAGAAATCACCCCCCAGGGGGGATGGCCACGCCGCAATCCCTTCTCCTCCATTCTCCTCTTGGGATCTTGGGCATGCACGCACATGCACCTGGTGTGAGTTTAAGCCACCGGGTCCAGGACTCGAACTGCGGTCAACTACGTGGGAGTCCAGCAACATAGCGATTACGCTAACTGCTGGCCCCATAAAATAATAATAATTTGAGAAGGGAGCCCAGCTACAGAGTTTTCGTTCTTGATTAATAAGAAGAGGTTTTACAGTCCTGGGGAGCTGGGTAGAGCCAGCCATTCAGCACATACAGGCATCTGCTACACACCAGGTACTGTCATAGCCATTGACGTTTCAGCCCAACTGAACAGATTAAAGCATCCTGTCCTCCTGGAGCTTCCAGCTTAGTTGGAAATCCCAGTGGGGGTTGCAGGGGGAAAAGGGAGCTTTCTGATAGAAGGCAGTTTCACCTTGTGAGGACATGAAAGGAACTCTTGTGAGCAAGTATGACCGTGGGGAAGGGGTTCACCACTGACAGGGGAAGCAAAGCAGCAGCTCAGGAAGTGTCTTCACTGTTGTGCATTGAACACCTGTTATGTTGCAGGTACTGGCTGTTACTGACCATCAGTAACAGTGTTGTCAGCCCTGGTGTCCGCATGAGACAGGGAAGGCTCTGGGAGGTTTAGAAATGTGTGTGGAGTCACACAGTTAGTAATGGCAGAGGCAGGATTCAAACCCAGGTCTTCCTGACCCCTAAGTCTATATGCTCCCCATGATGCCGAGCTCCTGTAACTCCTCCGTTCTCTCAGTCCAGGCCCGCCCATTGGAGCCCGCTGCGTATGGGAGTGGGGCGTCTCAGAGGACACTGAGGCATGGTGCTCCCTCTGCAAGGTGTTCCTCCGTTCTGAGAAGACACCTGGGTACTTCACTGCAGTGCTGGAACAGTCATGTGGGCAAGAGACTTGCGGGGCTCAGGAGAAGAAAGGAATTCCACATTAGGGTCTAGGGCAGAACTTGCCTGAGGAAGTTAATGATGGAGCTTCGCTTCGCAGAACAGCTGGTATGGAACCAGCAGGTAGCAGAGGGTTGAAGGCGCTGGACTCCCACATAGCCAACCATGGACCTGGCAGTTTGAAACTGACATCGGGCATGTGTGCACATGTGCCCAAAATCCCAGAAGGAAAAGGGATTACAGCACCCTGGAGGGGTGATTTCTCACTGTCTTTCTGGTGAGCGCACACACCCTATAACAAAAATCTCTCTTAAAAAACATCAGAGAACAGCTGGAATTTTTGCAGACGAGAAAGGGATTCTAAAGGGTAGGCACAGCTAACACCAAGGCAGAAAGGCAGTGATGAAACTGGGGGCTAGCTGTCCTAAGGGAAACCCTGGGGGGGTTTTGTCAGGGAAGGTGGAGCTGAGTCACTGAGCACCTTGAGAGAGTTTTCCCTCTTGTCCTGGGGTGCAGGGGATCCAGAGAGGGTTTGTAAGCCCAGGCGAGCTGTGCTTGAGCGAACCACTGACTAGGAGGTTACTTTCTCTGTCCAGCTCAGCAGTGGACAGGAAGATTGGCCCTGAAGGAGCACATCGATGTCATGTAAGCATTTCCTGAGTACCTTCAGGCTTGGCACTGCATTGCACCTAAGTGCAGAACAGAGACTGGAGAGGGCCACGAAAATAAATCCCAGGCGCTGCCCCTTAGAACACTCAGGCTGGGGGGACCAGCAGTTAGCGTAATGGCTATGTCACTGGATTCCCACGTAGCTGACCACAGTTCGAGTCCCAGACCTAGTGGCTTAAACTCACGCTGGGCACGTGTGCGTGCGTGCCCAAGATCCCGAGAGGAGAATGGAGGAGAAGGGATTGTGACGTGGCCATCCCCCCTGAGGGGTGATTTCTCGCTTTCTGTCTCTCTGTCTCTCTCTGTCTGTCTGGCAAGTGCACGTACCCTGTAGCAAAAACCTCTCCAAAGAAAAAAAGAAAGAAAAGAAAGAACACCCAGCCTAATCGGCAAGATTGGTGACGGTGCCCTTGAACTACAGAAGTACCAAGAGCTGTGAGCTGCTAAGGAAGGGGAAGTTAGTTCTCTGCAGGTGGGGGCCTTTGTGCCAGACCTTGGAGGCTCCCAGACATACAGATGGAGCAGGAGGACAGTGATGCCAGGGCTAAAGGGAGAAGTGCTCCCCAGGGAGGCCGGATGCATGAGGCTCAGCGTCTGTCTGACACACCCTTCTTCTGTTCTTGTCCAGAGGAAGACCTGAGTGTGGGGTGAGCCTGACCTGTGACCAGCATTCCTTGCCACTTACACATGTGGCAAGGTCATTGGAAGGGTAGAGCTAATGTAGGCGCCTTGGAGGCTGTCTTTGTTGTTGGCAGTGACCAAACTTCAGGACTGGGTGGTATAAATCTATTGCACAACAGAAAGAGGACCAGGAAAGCTCTGGGAGATGCACGGGGGAATGGGAGGGGGCATTTGAGCTGGGTCTTAAAGGATGATCCTATCAGCAGGCTTGAACTTTTAGAAAGACATTTGGGACGAGATGAAGGTGGCTGGTTGGTGAGCCTTGGAGAACATTAACCAGGCCACCTCTCCCCCTGCTACTAAGGTAGTCTGGTCCCCATCATCAAAACCAAAGTCAGAAGAGCTCCCAGCGCCCCTCCTACCTACCCAGCTCTGCAGCTCGCTTTCCTCCTACGGGAATCTAACTTCCATTTTTAATTGCTTATAGGTGGAATTAATTAGGTTCTGTCATCCTGACGACTCACGGAGGTAGCATATTTTTTCTCTAAATGCAGATATTCTTTTGAGGGATTGTATCTTTATCTTTTGCAGAAAAACCACTAAATTAAAAGAATTGCCATTTTGAATTGCAGATTAAAGAGAAACTTAATTAGAAGGAATGAAAGCAGTTGTGTTTGGAGCTTTTGTTCTTAAATTTTTTTCTCTTTTGCTGCTGAATCACTGCACTTGGAGTTTGTATATTTGTATTTTAGGTGAAATGATTTGCCTAATTAAGCCTGTCATTTATCACCACCTGTTCTCCCAACTATATGGCCGCATTATTAAGCTTGCCGGCGAATGTATAAATTAATTCAGTGGGGAATTACAGTGTTGACTAGGACATTATTAGGGTTTATCCAATTTATCTGCTATGAAAACTGATACTTTTCCCCACTAAAGCAACACAGCAGCTCGTTAGGTTTCTTCATCCAGCCATCCAGTGAGTGTGTGTTATGCTGAAGTTACTGTGCTGTCCTTGGGGGGTGGGGACACATGTGGCATGGCCCCTTGTCCCCACAGCACCAGCCGTTGACACTCTGACTTATCTAAGGACCGTCTCTCCTCTCTAGGACTCTGAGCTCCATGGGCAGAGGTGTTGGTCTTTAGTCACGCTGTCTCCTCCGCCTTGAGCCCTGCCTGCTACATGTGAATGAGTGTCTATGGGTGTCATAGGTGGTGGGCTGCCTGTCGGACTCCCCTGCCTGGCACACGGGCTGGCCACGTGCTCTGATAGTCACTAGCATGGTGGGTCCGGTGCTCCTCAAGTCTTCCACTGGTAGGATTCTCCCCTTCCACTGTTTCCACTAGTGCTTAGTGGAGGGGCAGAAGTGCTTCTTGGCCCCTGATAGAAGAGATTGCTCGGTGGCCGAGACAGAGCAGCTGTTCACGTCCCTCTGTCCAGGAGGCCCGACTGGCTGGGGCCGGAGGATGGCTCGCCACATCCATGTGTGCTCGTTAGAATAAGTGCCCTTGTGTGGCTAATCCAGGGACATGTGTCTATGGGCAGCCAGGCTCTGCTCCAGGAACCTGGTTCTGCAAGTACTGGTCAGGTTTTCTCAGCACCCTCTATGGGCCGGCCAGGGTGGGAGTGTTTGTAACCACTGAGGAGCACAGACCACATGCCAAGCTCTGCTAGGACCTCCATGTGCCTCGCTCATACTCCATGTGCCTTGCTCATATCATCAGCCTGAGGTAGCTGCTACCGTTATCTCTCTTCTTCAGAGAAAGAAACCGGGCCTCAGAGGGAGAACGCCCCAGGTAGACTAGCTGATGTCAGGGAACCCTTCTGGCAACTGCAGCTTCTGCTCTGTGAGAGCTATGGTATCTCCAGGAGCCTGTGTTCAGGGGTCATCCTCCCCAAGCCTGTGGGGATGAGCAATGCCCCCACAGGCCCAGGGTGGGTCGGAAGATCTATGCCAGTAGGCACTACCTGGCCCTCATTTGGGTGCTGGCTCCAGGACTGAGCTGACTGCCCAGGGCCTGTGTGGGAAGGTCCGGATGAAGAGGAGCAGTCTTGGGGAACATAGCGTAACCCTTGTAATCCTTTAGTAGAACTCGAGGGGCGTCCCAGGACAAGAGAGCAGATGCAGCCAGGGCAGCCCCGGTGGGAAGGGAAGACGGGAGGAGGAGGGGAGCCTCTTGCAGGCAGGTTTCTGGCACAGTATGAGGAACACCTACCCCCCACTTCCCGAGAACTATCCAGAGATTGGAGTCCCTGCAGGAGTGCCAGCCCCACCCCCTTGCTGGAGGTTGCAGGGAGATCTCTGTTGGGATAGACTGACCTTGGCCTCCAGAGACTTCACCATCCCTTCTAATGCACTGTCAGGCTCTGACAGCACCTCACTGTCCTATCTTAGGAAGTAAGCCCCCCCCCTTTTTTTTAGAATTATTTATTTGATTTTATTTATTGTTAAACAGGGCACCATGCACTTACTAAAAAGCAACAGAGAGGGGTGGGGGAGGGGAGTGAGAACGCAAAGCAGCAGATCTGAGACTCTAACGTATGTTGGTGTCCTGAAAGCCTCCGTCCTGCAGACTGTGACGTGCCCCCTGGAACACTGGACTGTTACCCTGCCATGGGCTATCCAGTCACTCCTGGGCTGGGCTCCAGTCACTCCTGGGCTGGGCTCCAGGTGACATGCCTTTCTCTCTCTCTCTCCCCACTCCCCCACAGCCCAGTTTAACGGCAACGAGAAGCGGCAGTCATCCCCCTCGCCCTCACGGGACCGGCGACGCCAGCTTCGTGCTCCAGGAGGAGGCTTCAAGCCTATCAAACATGGGAGCCCCGAGTTCTGTGGGATCTTGGGAGAAAGAGTGGACCCTGCCGTCCCACTGGAGAAGCAAATGTAAGTTCCCAGTTAACGAAGCCCACCCTCGGCTCTACTTCCTGTCACTGCCCTCTCTGTTTCCTTGACTTGCTTATACGAATCTGCAGACTGAGGGCATGCCAGCGCTCCAGGCGCCTGTACTCAGACCCTGCGGCTTCCTCTGTGCTGGTCAAGCCACCATCAAGTCAGTGGGGGACCTGGGATTAGAGCAAGCATCTCCTAACTCCAGCCCCAGCTTTTCTGTCCACACTATTCTGTCTTCCTTGCCTTCAACAGCCAGTCGGAGGGACTACAAAACCATCTGCACGGTCCCCCTTCACTATTGTAGCCTCGTTTCTGGTTGCATCATGCAGCAAATGAGTTCTCAAACAGCTGAGTATAAACTAAAATCCTGTCCCCAGAGTGTACGACTAAGAGTGGGTGAGATTTATTTTCTAACTGCAGTGACGTTTTTGCTTCACATCTGCTTGATATTAGCTGGGCAAAGCCTTTACAGCCCCTCTCCCAGGAGATGTCCCAGCCCTGGTCAGTGGCCAAGGCTTGTGCATGCTGTCCCGGAGTCTCCTGCCCTGTCCCTCCTCACTGCCCCAGCATGATAATCCCCTTACACGGTTATCCCTTCCCTCCTCTGCCAGGCCCTGCTGGGTACAGGTCTCTCTTCTGCTCTGAAACCTTCAGGGGCTCCCCATTACCTCCAGGGTAAAGCCCCATCTCCCCCATCTGCCATTTGTTCTGTGAATTGCCCCCAGTCTGCTTTGTCAGTTTCCAACCATGCCACATAGCTGGACTAGAGTGAGCTTCTCCCGGAACTTTATAAAACAGGTATAGGATCCTGTGCTGGCGCCTTTGGGTATATCGTCCACTTACAAGCACATGTGCAATAAATGGATCAGTATATCCATTGCAAGATGAGAAAGTCTGGGCCCAGGGAGATGCAGAGCCTTGCCCAGGACTCACTGCTCGGAGTGATCCTGGCCTTGTAACCTAGCCCCTACCGTCTCCCTGACTTGCCCTCCTCTTACAGTTCTGTCACCCTCATCCTGAACACAGGCCCAGGGCAGGTATTTGGTAAGACCAGGAGTTGAACGACACCACGCACTGGTGAGCCCTTATGTGTATCGCGTACTGCATTGCTCTTGGCCCTGGGGGATGCTGGTCTCAGCACAGCCGGTAGTGCGTCCCCTACAGGAAATGCTTGCTGGCTGAGCAGGATGCAGGGTTTTCCGAATGATGTCACTGCTCCCTTTTTAAGCGTGAGCTGTCATCTCAGGAGGCCACAGCCTTTATGACGGCCCCCCTTTTGCTGTTTGGAGCGCTCCTGGCCGACGCTGTTAATCATTCTTACAGCTGCGCAGATCGGGTGGGAGGTTTCGCTTATTTCTAATCAAGCTGTGCACTTTTAATCAACAAACAAAGCAGGATCCAGAGGTGCCTGGGAGCTCCTTGGTGTGCAACCCAACCAGCAGTGCCCAGTGTGCCTGGGCGGACCGCCTGCCCTCTCCCCACCCTGCTCTGAGCTTGGTCCCGGGCTCCATTTCCTTTCCTAGTCATTCCTTGACCAAGTCCAGAGGCATGACTGGCTTTCCCTCCCCACCGCCCCATCTCCCAGCCTCCCACGATCATATCGGCCTTCCAGAGCCCTGGCTCATCTCCTAAAAGGTGTGCTTAGGTGAAATCCTACTTCTGGGAGACTACGCAGGTCAAGGATCGCGTGATTCTCCCACCAGGCTGATGATGCATCGGAATTGAACCG